ATGATGACAATTTATATATGTATTCAAATGTAGCAGACACTTGGGTGAAAGAATGTATGTATGTTTTCAAATGTAGCAGCAGGCTACTTAAAAGTTGGTGAAGGAAAGAGTGTATGTTTTCAAATGTATCAGGATGGTGTAGCTGTCCAAAGTCACCAGTGAGTTGTGCAAAATGTTCTATGTATGTTAAAGAATGGAAAAAATTAATTCAATTCTGGTTTAGGTTGATTTTCAATCCTGTTATATACATATACTGAGATCTGCTTTGGAAGTGCCATTTTGATTCTCATTATCTCACTGCTTTTTGATTGGTTGGTCAAAATATGGCTTTGTAGCCTAGCGATTCTTAACATACATCTATTTTTAAAGTCTGTGGGAGTTGCTAATAAAATTTCATTTAGTTGTGAACATGCATGTGCATATGAATTATTTTTTCAATATTATAGTTTCGTCAATTTCAGGGAAAATATTTGCAACTACAAGTGTGTCTCTATTTGTGTCCTTTAGTGCAAAGGTAAATATCACACCTAGTAAAGGAACATATTGTTTCAGAATGCAAGGGCAATATGGCACTCACTAGTAAATTAAGTTTGAATAAATTACAATATGATTTTTCAAGGAATCAATTATAGAATAAGTTAAATAATAAATAAATTCAAATATGTAACAACAATTTTAAAAAAATCAATTATTATTAAATTTAAATATTGAATAAAATAGAGCCTTTAAAAATCAATTCTTTATAAAAATTTTAACATCAAGTTTAGTTTTCATTGGAATTGATAAGATTCAATTAAACTTTAATTAAAATAAAGGGCAAGGTAAATTGTTCAGTAAGGGTTACAGACATTTAGACAGAGGCTTTTAGGTATATTTCAAACTTAGATTTACACAGGGGGTTGCCTATTCAATACATTGCACAGCTAGGGTTTCTGAGTATGCGTTAAGGTTTGGCTTCATGTGAATAAACTCAAAAGTGGGGTCTTTTTTCAAGGTCTGTTCAGAAAGGTCAACAAAACTAAGTAGATACTATACGATGATATACATAGAAAAGGTAGGTGGATGAAGGGTTCTAAATAAAGTTTTTATTCACAAAATAAATCTAGATTAATTTGTATCCCTATAAAGCATAAAAGTGATGATCTATTTCTTTTGGGTACTTAAAAAATTTAAGGGTTTTCTCTGTTTGCAATAGAAATTCTGGGAAGTAGCCGGACTCTAAAATCAGTTTCTAACACTGCTATATATTTGATATATTTCATAGTTTCTTAGTATCCCAGAAGACTCAACTTTATATTAAGAAACCCTTAAAAAGGGTGTCTTTTGAAGTTTATGCCAAAAATGTACACAATGTAGATCATAGACAAAGATAGATTATGCCGAATTAAGGAAGTAAAGAATTATGCCAATGTTTAAATTAAATAGGGCTTTGTATTTAAATAATTAAACCCCTAAAATGTTGGCATTTATTTGTTTGTTAGTTCTTTTATTTTTGACAACTGTATAGATTTTAATTAATAAATTCGCATTGATTTCTTATCTATGATTTTAATTTGTACTAAAAACTTTATTTTATATTTATCAGTCTGAACAGATTTAATTTCTTTTTAATTAATAAACTTAAATATAAATCAACCCTATTTTAAAGACTAATAGGGAAGCCAAATTATGCTGGTGGGACAGTGACTCAAGTGGAGATGCCAGGCATGGACTGATAACATTGCAGATTCTTGGGATTTTATCAAGAATATTTAAATATATAGCAGAAGCACCTGATGTGGCAGCAATATTCAATGCATGAATGAATGATAGATTTATAAAGGTGTTGATGAATTGATTCACTTGGCAGGTTAGTTAAAGCTAGAAAATATTTTTAGAGTGTAAGAATTTTTCTTTGGCGAAAATAGTTTAGTGATACAAGTCTTACTAATTAGCCCATAGCTGGGAGAATAGGTGTAAAATAGATTCTGATGAGAAAAACTTTCTAGCTTTTCACAACTATCCTAGCAGCAGACCTAGCAATTGATTCAATATGATTGTTCCATAAAAGCAGAAAATTTTAGCCTGAGAAGGCAAAAGGAGTCTCTCTCTGAAAGGTTAGCATCAATCATGCTGATAAGACTAAAAAAAAAAGTTCTCTTAGACAATTAAAAGAGCAGTTTTGTACCCGTTAACAACAGACTGAAGGTGATATTTGAACATATCAGATTTACTATTAAAACAGGACTAAACATTGGTTTCATCAGCTTAGATACCTTGCCAAGAACTGATGATATTAAGAAAGTCATTGATGAAAATTATGAACAAAGTAGGTTCAAGGATAGAGTCCTGAAGGACACCCACATTAATGTAAAAAGATCTAAAATAATGGCTGTTCAAGACAAGTTTAATTTTGCCATTGTAGAAGACAATTTGAATCTAATCAAAGATTAGTCCAGAAATACCACAACCCTTCATCTTATGAAGAAGACAATATGCCAAACCATGTCAAATGCCTTCAAGATATGCAAAGTAGCAGCTCAAGCATCATTATTCTTATCTAAAACTTGATAAACCCTTTCAGTAATTTAATACATCAAAAGTTGACCAAGAAAAGCGAAAGCGATAGTTACTACTAAAAGAAGACTTTTGTGAGGTGAGATGCTTATCCAATTCAGAGTTGATTAAAGTATATCCACCATCATGCCATCTACACCTGAATAAAATTAAAATTAAAATAAATTTTCCTTAATAATCCATGTCTCTTTTTCTCTCTCTCTCAACTAACAAGAATGCAACTCTCATACAAAAAGAAAAGACTAAATGACAGCTCCGAATCAGAAGTTTGTTGATCCAGAGTCTATTTATTGTGACTAGAAATCAATCCAAACAAGTAACTTTTTCTATAAAAATAAAAAGAAAGGAACACCGGAAAATAAATAAAATAATTTTTGGCCAATCAAAAGACGACTTTTGATTTTAGCCAAAGCGAGTTTTGCACCCAAGCCAGATGGAGCCTTACAAAATGTACCTAAAGGACTGGGGGAGAGACAACCAGAAATTTTCCAAACATGTCATGCAAAAAAGACATGTTTTTCCCACCCTTTTTGAAGGATGATATAACCAGTATATTTGCACTGCAATGTCTCCAAAGCAACCCAACTACACTTTCGATGGCTGGCAGCAAGATGACAACTACTATCAAAGTCTGACTCATAAACTAACAACTACCAAACCTAACAAGCTTTTAACAACCAGATCTATAAAGAACCTGCCCCTATTGTAGTTAAATTAAATATATTATTTGTTTATATCTTTAATTCTGTTCCTTTATTTGGAAGTATTCCAAGGTATCTGATAAATCATACTATAACCCTCTGGTGTTATCCCAGAAAAACATCAAGTTAGCATGCTTTGTGGGGGATCCAGTTTAGAGATGATAGTAGAAAACATGGATGGAGTTATGTGCATATTACACAGTAGAAACATAATTGTAATTGGAAAGTCAGGCAAAGATATTCCAGATGAGTCAAGATAACTGGAAGAGAATTTATGAGCAAAACATTCTGCTTCATCAGCAGATGATAACATCTCAAATTGAGTGAAGAGAGGAGAGATAGAAGACCTACTCTTATTTAACACACAATATATAGCTGCCAGTAGTCATAAGAGCCAAACTTGTTTGAGGCTATACACTGTCTCATTCTGTCAGTGAACAAAGACAGAAACTCATTGAAGACACGTTTATATTTATTACAAGCAGATACAAAGAGGCATCTGCTGTAGTCAGAACTATCACACTGATACAGCTATATAAAGTGATTTCTGTGGGCTATAATAGCAAGTGTGAAGCAAGAAGATTGTGGTTTCTCCTGGAAATTCTAAGTTTGCACAAAAGCCTTGATGCCAACTTTTACCCATGAAGAAACCTCAATGATACATCAGTATGCTGGTCACAGAAAGAAATCCTTTGAATACGGGTTCATGTCTAATAGATGAGTCAAAAGAAATATCAACAGATACTACAGCATGATCCAAATTATGAAAAGAACAGAGCTGTGATGCTCAACAAGAAACAGGAGAGGAGGTAAGGAACAAATCAAGTAAAGAAACATGTTGATCAAAATTATTATGGAAAAAAGTAGGGAATCTATTATTTGACTGAGAGGCTGTGCAACAGAAAATTGAGAGTCTGAATACAGACATCAGACTGATTAAGTAACTTGACACAATGAACATTAAAATCACCCAGCACAATGAAGTTTCCAGTCACTTTCTTACAGCCATAAAGTTGCTTATGTCTTTCATGGTAATTGTTTGAATGAGCTCTCTCTCATGGTACCTAGAAATTTTTAAGTGCTATACTAGACTGGCATCAAGATCTCATCAATTTATCTGGCTGATGTAGCCATAAATTATTTGAAACTTCAGATGAAAATGTCATCTCTCTTTGAATTTGGAACACCACAAATTATATTAAGATTGGTTTAAAAGAGTCAAATGCACGTGAAACATGACTGACCAATGAAAATCAAACAACACAAAAGTAAAATATCAGAATTTCTCTTTTTTTCTCCAAATCTCGGTCTCTGATGAAGCTTTAATAAAAGTAAAACATGTTAGATTGATGTTTCTTATTTGTTCATTATCTTATTGTTTTGTCAGATTCCAATCTATTTTTGATCCCAACTCATTCCAGAGAATATAAATAAATCTAAAAGACATGCCAGTGTAGCTAATCAGTATTTCATTTATTCATTTTCTACAGCTTATCAACCCTTTGCAGGCTATCTAAAGCCAGAAAATATTTTCAGATTGAATTTTTTTTTTTGAGGTAATAATGGTTTAATGATATAAATCTTACTAATTAACCCATAGCTGAGAGGGAAAAGAAGTGGATTCATACCTTTCCCAAGGGTATTTACACATAAGTGAACATAACAAATCTAACTGGAATTGGAACTCTGCTCTCTGATTAACAATTCCGAGCCATTATCCATTACACCACCTGAATACCTAAGCTTACAGCATCTGCTGTTCCCAAGTATTTACCCATCTAGGCACTGACCAGGCTCAACATAGCTTAACTTTTGTGGTCATATGAGAACTGGTGTTCAACATGATGTGGCTCTAAGTATTTGGCAAGGTTGATCTGAAATAATATACAATATGAATCCATAGTAGCATATATACTTATCTATATATAAAAATTTATTTTTTCAATGAATATCAGAGTAAATGAATTGTCATCTGATACACCAATAATAATTTATTAATAAAAGGAATACAATCAGTCAGTTATGTGCCATGCATGATACATGCTTAGGCAATCATGTAACTTTCAATACATGATTGATGAGACAGATTTTTTCCCACAGTAGATTGCCATTTTTTTCTGCAGTAGACCAGTGGCCATCCAAGGATATAGAATCCAGTCTGTCCTGCTATTTACCCATAGCTGGGGAGAGAAGAGGATTCATACCTTCCCCATGAGTATTAACACATAAGTGAGTGTAATGAAATTCAACTGGAATTCGAACTCGGCTCTCCAATTCCTCAATCCGAGCCACTATCCATTACTACACCATGAGGTAATCAATGGATAACAAAAATAAAGAAAAACCAAATTCTATTCTTGTTAAAACTGAATGTTAAGCATTAGAAAATAACTGGTTACAGAATGTAAAGTAAAAATTAACATTGTAAAAAAAAAAAATTTAAGAATGAAAATACTTCTATATATTTGAAAATAACTAGTCTTCCTTAAAAATGTTATGTTGATACTTAAATAATTTTTTTAAAAATCAAAGTCACCCTAAACAAGGCAGTAATGCCACTAAAACACAAGGGAATACAGGGTATGGAAGAATTAGAAACAGAAATGATAATGATGAACAGAAAGAGAAGAGAGTAATCAGGTGGACAGGAGAATTGCCACACATTTCTTGGGGCAAATAATTAGAGTCATTTCCCGTTACCTTATTCAAGGCCTAGTAGTGAGAGTTTTCCTTTTCTTAGTCAAGTCTAGAGAGCCTAGTCTACCCTACTTTTTAACCAATGACTTGGAGAGAGAAAAGACAAATTCATCTATTTTCCAAGGGAATTTGTGATAAAGTGAGACAACAGACTGACCCAAAAATTTCACTCAGCTTGCTGCTACCTCTTTCGGCACCAATATCTTTTATGCTTACACGCAGCTTCTAGGTTAAAAAATGCTCCCATATCCGATCCAAAGATAACAAACATTTCACTTTGTTAATACTTAATAATAACAACAACAATAATAATAGTAATAATAATAATAATGTCATGCTAATTTTTTTTGATCAATCACCCCAAGGAAGGTAGTAAAGCCACTAAGACACAATGAGTAACAGGGTATGGAAGAATTAGGAACAGAAACATTAATAATGAGTGGGAAGTGGAAAGAGTAATTGGGAGAACAGTAGATAGCGATTGACATTGCATTTAAATTTTTGCAGATTGGAGTTGGCTGAAAAGCATGGAGCCAGAAGGGAGTTCCACAAGTGAGAAATGCAAGAAACTGCTAGCATAGAATTTACAGTTACATCTAGCCAGCTCAACTGTAAATTGGTGTGACCTTGACACCAGTCTACTACTGCACTTAAATTCATAAAGTCTAGGTATCATAGTGAAGAGCGATATTTCCACTTATTTACAGAAAATGTGGCACAATTTCTGTCTTAAATTTAAACTTAGCTAGCCACAAACACTGACCCAAACATACCATAATATCCCCAACACCAAAACAACACATTCTTACTACCTTTCTTACTACATCCATCATAATACCTCATTGTCTCTATGAAAATCCTAACTAGTCTTCATATGCACAATTCATTGTCTGTGGGGAGAGGGAAATAAAACAACAATTTAAAAACTAACCCCAATGAGTATCATAGTGAAGAGATCATCCAAACAATTACCATGAAAGTATTTAGAGAATAGACATGGAGAGGCAACCTTACAGTAGTGGGAAAGTGACTGGAGCTGAGTTGCCAGATCGAGACCAATAATATTGCAGATTCTTCTTCAGAATCTTATCAAAGCACTCAAGGTAAATAGCAGGGGCAATGGGCCATATGTGGCAGTAATATTCTAAGCATGGACAAATAGTAATCTTATAGATATGTAAAATAGATTCTGGAGAGAAAAATTGTCTTGCCTGACACAGTGAACTGACCTTCTTAGCAGCTGACAAAGCAATGGATTCAATATAGTCTTTCTAATTCATATTAACAGAGAACGTGAAATAAAAATATATAAAGTACTTAAATTTTATAATAAAAAATATATAAATTATGTATATGAAATTTATACCAACATGATAAACAAATGATAAGTATAATAGATAAAATACATAAAGCAATAAAAAATACACAACAATATCTCAATAAATAATAAATGTACAGGTTGAGAATCCTTTATCTGAAATTCTCGGGACTGGAAGTGCTTTGCTTTTCAGATTTTTAATACAGGCTATTTAATTTATATATAGCATCAATAAAATGGGGCAGCTTGAAAATGGAACCAAAGCATAAACACTATATCGTTTTGCAATTCATAACACAGCTTATACTGATAGTTTTATATAAAATGTAATAAATTTAGTGGACAGGGTGTTCCAAATGTTGTGTGATAATTGTCAGAAATTAGCAATCGGGGAAAATTTGCATATCATCTTCCATAATTTGACCAATAAAATTTCTTAATAATATATTGTCACATACAGAAACATTATTCCATTTGATAAATAAATATAAAATTTACAAGGATATCAATGGTAATGTGACTTTTGGAATACCTTTTACATACAGATACAGGTAATGACAAGTCATGTAGTGGTGAAATTAAGATTTCATGTAAAAATAATGTTTTTTTACTTTCTGTATGTGTACAATGTTAATAAACATAAATGCTTTCTTTTTAGTATCCATCTGCAGGATTTTTTGACATTTTAAATAATATCTTTACTGAGCATGAATCAACTGATAAGTAATCCATGAATAAAGGTGTTGCTGTGATGATTGCTAACAAAAAATTGGTACCAATGTAGGCTACATAGCTGGGCTGGGGAACCCCCACCCAGGGCAGATGATGTCTGTCACAACAGCTGCACATCACCTAGGAACCTTCCCAGTGCTTTCTGAAATTTTCTATTTTTGGCAAATCATGTCATCACCTGAAAAACTTTCAGGATTTGGAGATTTTTGGATTTGGGAATTTTGGATGAAGGCTACTCAACCTGTAATATAAACAAAATTGAATAAATAATCATCACTTCCTTGTTTGCTATAATTTCTTCATTTTCAAGGAGTGATATGAAAAAAATGTTTACTTTGGCAACAGCATTTTGTTAAAATAGTAACCTAATCTGAAGAGACATAGAAGAAAAATGAATCATTTCACACAAGAAAGAATTGTTTCTTTATAAAGAGAAAAGATTAAATTTTGTCTACATACTAATTTCACCAAAATAGCCTCAAGAATAAATGAGATATCAGAAGTTGAAATTGAACGAGATTTCCCCATTTTAACGTGTTTTTGCAGTGTAAACTAAGGCAGTTAAGGATACATATTTACAGCAATATAGACTTTTGAAAAATTAATCTAAGTCTTCAAATATCAAGAATTAAAATACTTCTTGTCACAATTTGACTAAATGAAAGCACATGGAATAAATTTCCTCGATGTTGGTTCTCATAGTGTGTTGCAATGTCAGCAAAGAGTCTGTTGAGATTGGGAACGGAAACACTTAACCAATTGCTCTCCCAACAACTACAGGGATAATAGAGAGAGAGAGGGGGGAAGCGATAGGACGTAACAAAAAATAACACTGCTTTGGAAATGACAGTAACTTGAGGAACAAAATACCCACAGGAGCAACTTCACAAGACACTGTGTCTTGACAAATGCTGTTTCCACCCCCCAGCTTTTATGGCATTAGGCATCTTACATAGACCCAGATCTTGACCAGTTGCAGAGAGGTCTGAATCTGCCAAACTGTCCTGTTGCTAAGGAGAAAAACATGGATGTAACCTGGTATTGACAAACATGTCAGCATGCAATGAAAGGCCTCTTTTGCATCTACTGACATGCATTCGCCACATTATGATAGAGCAGCTTTGTTGACTTCTCAGTTTTTTGGGTTTTTTTTTCAGTAATCTTGTTTGACCACCCTTCTCTCCACAGCAAGAATAGTCTGGGAAATACATTTAAGAAAATGTGGCAAAGTTTAACCTTCGGACTTGCAAAAAAAAAAAAATAAGGGGGGGGGTCAAAAGGACATTTTTTTTTCTTGACACTGCTTTCAGCCTTGACAATATTTGATTTAAAACATCATGTATAGAATTTTGATAATAACAAAAATGTTACACACTATTTAGTTGTTAGATTAACAAGATCATAAAAATGTGAACCAACTTCAATGGAATATCATTTACCATTTTATAAATATAAAAACAAATTGTTTTATTAATTTTTTTTAAACTTACAAAATTATAAAAATGTAAACAAACTCCAATGCAATATTATTTACCATTTCATAAATAACCATAAAAACAATTTTTTCATTCATAAACTAATAGAACGGATCAAATGTCAAGATTTAAAATACTTCTAATCATAATGTTACTAAATGAATGGATATGGAACAAATTTCAAATACTTCCTGCATATTCGTTCAAATTGTGATAGAATAGCTCAACTTTTTGCATTTAAAAAAAAAGAAAAAAAAAGACAGTTCCTTTTGTTTGCCTTCTACAATCTCATGTCTTCTTGCAGCAGAAGGAACAGTCAGTGAAATACATATCAAAATATGCAATTGTTCATGGAAATGACTATTTTAGTCAGCATCATTAAAATGTTTGAAATTATATGTAATATTTCCGTCACACTTAAGTGTTAACTAGGTGGTCACTGCAAAAAAAAACAAAACAATTATAATATCATCAATTGGGGCAGATTAAAACTCAAGGTTTTACTTTTTATCATCTGAAAAGTATCTATAATATTGGTGTCATTCAGATAAATCTTTTGGCAAGAAATTTTGGGTATGAACGATTTACAAATGGCTGATACAAATCATTTAGATTCCAGTAT